AATAATCACACAATTCATCACACCTTGGTAACATTGTAGATTTCATTGATTATACTATGCCAATAAAAATAATTACCTAGTACAGTTGCTCAATTTATTCTGGAGTAGCTTTTAGCACTCTGCAGCTTATTTTTACTGTTAACAATATTTATCGTATTACAGCTTTAACATGAAATAATTCATTTCAAATATCAGCTTTCACGTATCTCACTTTTAATCTTTCCAAAACTTAAAATAGATTGACAGGTACAACAAATCATCTGTTGTTGCAGAACTTTGAGGTTAAGGTGGCTTGGGCGGTTAGTACCGTACCTAGAGTAGGGTGCCATAAGGGCCGCTAAAAAATCAACACTTTTCGACGGTAATTTTTTCAATAAATATAGTTATTTCGATAAAGCTAAAGTATAAAATCAAGTAATTGCCAGAAAAGTACCGTTAAGTTATAACTGTAAAAATTGGACTATGTTGCGAGGCAAGCCAGATGAATATTTCATACTTTTTTCTGATTTTCTTTTAAGTTAAGTCATTGATTCTTATTTTCAAGAATTTGATAGATTATTTGTAAAAAAAATACACGAGAACTATTTTAAATTCTTTAGATGAATCAAGTACTTCTTGAGTTACAGCCGTTTTAGTGACAACACCCAAAAGACTGCATCTTAAATAGGCGAATTTTCAGTAGCGATTTGCAAAAAAATTAAGTCGTTGACCCCAGTATTTTTTTATCGCAAAAAATTTGGCATACTTTATTTAGATAATTCCAGAATTTCAGAGGTTTTGATCAAGCCGATAAAAATAGCCCAAGCCATCTTAACTATCCTGTTTCCATTGTGGACACTGTTTTGCAATACGCTTTTTATTTTCTTTTTTCCTTTTGCCGTGGCCAAAAGAACTTTTCGTCTATGATCGGTTATCGTTTGCTTTGCCAATCGACTGTTTTAAATTTGTACTCATCCCGTAATCGTGATTAAATAATATAAATGCCTTGTTCTTTAGTATAATATAAATATCTTGATAAGTACAACAGTTTTTACAAAAAGCAACATTGTCAGACTCGAAAGCTCTCACACGTACATACTAGAGCTACGCATGTGTGATTACAGTCATTCGCTCAAGTTCATCATTTGGAAAAAAGTGGGGAGTGTACGCGAGTAGCCTCTACTTGAATCTCAGCACACTCAACTTTTAGCACGTATTGCTCGACAATAATTCCCTTAGTCAGAAAGGCTGGATTGTAAGATTTAAAATATCGATTGTCGCGTGTCATTACAATACGTTAGTTGGTTTATACCTTTAGCTGTTATACTTCATATTATTGTATTGATTTAGTATGAATTTGATACTGGTTTCAAAGTGAACTTTTAACTTTTAAATTATTAGTTATTATAAAATAACTCGATGATGTTGTTCCTTATGTATACGGAAGTTCTCGTGAAGATTATAATTTTTACATCTGCTGTTCTTAACTTTGAACCTAATTTGACAGTCCTTGCTTTGTGGTTCATCTTTGCTTTACTTTTAAGGTGAGTCTACAAAAGCTCAGGTTACTTGAGCTTTTTCTCGTCACATAAATCACTGAACTAAGTTTCACATTTACCCGAAATGGAAACTTTCACGAGCAACTTAATTACCGAATAAGGTCCCATGTCAGAACATTCTCTTTAAAGATACAATTGAAAAAACTTTGAGCTTTACACTTACTTTAATAAGCTAATCGATGTGACTCTGACATTTATTATTTCACCGTGTTGCAACCATTTTTACTTGATGAAGCATATTTTTTCATGAATTAAAACAAAAACAAAAAAAAACGTCCGATAACGTTTTATGAACAATAGCTATTAACAGTTTAGTATTTAGTACGATTCTTAAATTTTAACTGCTGTTTCAATAATCAACTTAAAAAAATTTTCTTTACTTCTGCAGGGTATTTCTCTTCAATTTATGCAAGGAAATAATTTTTACATACGTCAACATAAAAATAAAATTGTGCTTAAACACTCTGACCTTCTCCGAACGGTAAGTTTCATGCATTTATAACATTTATAACGAAGACCTGGGATACTAATTCATCGAGTGCAAAAGTATTTTCGTTACGTAGTCTCGCTATATCGAGATACATCAGTCTATAAAAATTGCCAAGTGCACAAAATTTATAACTGCCAACCAGGCTGAGTGGATAGAGAATAAAAAGTTGCTACAGAGAAATGACATGAGTGGCAAAATTGGGACTAATCTACCACCTAAAAACTTACCTTAAAGTGAACATGTATAAAGCGTATATATATATAGATATACTCTCATTCTCACAACACAGACAATGTTGGTCCAAATCATCTCCCTCTCCTCCTCGTTGATTTCCAAATTTTCTGTCCCTCTTGATCTATATAGAAATAGTCTTGAAAAAACTTTAGCAAAGTGGTGGCAAATATTTTTCAAGGGATCTAATAACTTTAATGTCAATTATTGGTTCGTAGATAAGTCTAAATTTTAACATTAATGTCACTTCTCTACTGTACCTTTTTATTCTCTATCCACTGGGCCGTGTCACAGCAAGTATACATTTTTGTGCGTTGAGCCATTTTTATCTATTTATGTAACTCGTCATAGCAAGGGTACGAAAACTACAATTACTTGTATAAATCAACAAGAAACACCATGCAGAACTAAAAAGAACTTTTTTAAGTTAAAACATAAAAATGAACTTTTGTTAACTATCGTTAAAAAAAACGTTATAAGAATTTTTGTTTTTAAATTTGTATACAAATATACTCCATTAAGTAAAAATAGCTGAAACACGGTAAAATATGAAACATCAGAGTTACATTGATTTGTTTATGTCGAAATATTTAATTAAAAAAAAATTAGAATTAGAATTAAAAAAAAAAAATTTTTTTTCTTACCATGGGCACAAAGTGCAGCTGCTGCTTTGCGCCCTTGTTGTCACTTTGGGCCTATGGGCAAAGAAGTTTTTTGCACTCTGCCCTACCGGCTCAAATACTTTTTTGCTCTAGGGCTTTAAGTTATTTACTGGAGGGAAAGTGTGCCCACGGGAACAAAATTTCACTTTGTGCTCTCAGTAAGAGAAACATTATACGCGACTCGTGCACCAATATACAACAACCACGTCTTTCGGGCGCTTATATTTGTACTTTGTGCCCCACTGACGTAATGTACCATTTCTCCTTTATATTAAAGTTCTCGATATCCTCAACAAAATCTACTTTTTAAATTTGATCTAGTCATAAGCCTGTAAGGTTCAGGGCAGACATATTACTAAATAACGAATGAATTATCTTTAGCTATTTTTACAGTACGATGCTCCAAAAAAATTTATAAGCCAATTCAAATAAAAACTTGAGTCTATTTTCACTATATGTTTAATATTAAAAGAAGCCCGCACAGTTATGCACCAGTATTATTTTTCCATATATTTTAATTACTCTACGAAGCGATTTTAACAATTATCGTTGTAGTCGCAGAAAATTTCTTACTAACCATTTTTTATCTACTCGCCTACTGGTGTAATACGTGAATAACGATTGATGGTTTAAACTATTAATCCATCGGAGTTTATATTTTGGTATAGGTTGATGTCAAAATGCATACAATATGTATTGCGGATCACACGTCAACGTTATAATTATTACTCGTTCACATTATTACATGTTACGCAAACCGATAGTGTAAAATGAACACTTTATAAAACTGAAACGGCAGCTCTTATAAAAAAAAGAAGGTTAAGCAAAAAAAAATTAAATAAAGTGGCAGTGATGTTACAATTTCTGATTACTCATAACAAGTAAAACAATAGCTGGGTGTTATGACATAATAAATATTAAGAGTAGAACATAGAATGTCACAAAAAGTGTAAGTTATATGGATGAAAAAGTTTTAAATCTCATCAAAGAAAATTGAGATTTTTTTCCCAGATCTTCTAAAAGGATGAGTACCTAAGGTAACAAAAAATTTTTTAAAAGGATTTTTCTGGGTAAAGTCTTGATTCCCAGGGGCTCCTTTTCCGGAGAAAGCCAGCACCAGGTTAGATCCTCAGTAAAATTTCAAATATTTTAAAAAGTAGAGCTCTATGGTAAGTCAGATGTATAATGGAAGCGATTTTTTTTTAAACCCAACACAGAAAAAAGGCTAGGAAACCTTACAAGAGTCTATAGTGGTAGTTACTCTATAACTTTGGTAGTGGCATTCTAATGTGCTTTAGTAGAGTTTTCCATAAAGTTTTGGTAACTGATACGAAAAACGACTAAGCCATTTTAAACATACTGTAAAATTATACTTAAGGTGCTAGTGAAACATTTTTTAGAAAACTTAACTTCTATGTATCCGGAAGCACGTCAATAGAAAACATTATTTTTACAAAAGATATAATAATTAAAAATTGATCAAATGGTATGCGTAGAATGTTATACCATATATATCAAAATGCTCATTAATCTTTGACATAGATAAATAGTGATTCATAGCTAAAAGTGAATTTCTTCATTTAAATACTTTTCCTAAAAAGGATATTACATTAAAAAATAATACAACATTGTTTTTATGTTGTTCTTTAATTTAAAAATGAAATTAATTATAAAGGACGTATTACATAACTTGCTGATGTTTTATTATGTTTTATTTAAAGTTTTAGCATGAAAATAATCTGTAAAATAATACTAAAATCTCTCTCTTGGCAAACAAGAACCATGTGCCTTTTCTTGGTCCTAGGATGAAACAACACATAATTTAAAATAGTATGCATCAAATCATTGAGTTTTTGGGTAATTAAAAAAAAGTTTCAATTATATTTACAAATCATTGTATAATTTATAATAAAGATAAAGTTACTAAAATAAAATAGAAAATTATCATTTACTTAATACGTCCACTGTCAAAAATGAAATCAAACTATTAAGAGAATAGAACGGTGCACGTACACTAACAAAAGAGCTTAAACCTTCCAGTAAACAAAATACATAAGTTAACAAAAAAAAATTTGTTACCTCATATCCATAAGTAAGATCTAAATTAGGTCCAATTATTCCAACTGTTTGTTCGTTCTGCAAATATCCTTTTCTAATGTGAATATTAATTATTGGCGCTTCATACCTTGGATTGCAACCAATAAGTAGAATGACATCAGCTTCATTAATATTTTTAATTTTTGTGTTTAAAAGATAATTTATCCGAAAATCTATTCCTGCACCAAATACTGGAAATTGTTGTTCTGTTGCCAAGAGATCACTTCCAAAACTGTTCAGTAAATCTTTCATAGCGATTAATGTTTCTGCATCTGTCATTTTACCAGCAACAGCAGCACATTTATTAGGCTGCAGATTTTGTAAGGATCTTGCCACTGTTTCAAACAAAAGAATTTTAATTTGAAAATTTAATGTAAAAAACTTACTTATATTTCTAGAAAAAACGATTTTATGTGTTGGAAATTCTTTTTTTACAACTAATATTAGACAAATTTCAAGAACTAAGCAGTTTACGAAAATCCTACTGTATTTAAATCGCATCATACGTTGTACGATTACAAAACAGATTCTTTAATAAAGAAAAAGGGGCTTATGATCAAATTATCAAACAAAAAAATAGATTGTTAGTAAGAAGAATTTTTGATAGATGGTAGACCATTTATCGTGAATCGATGGCTCAATATCGAGACAAATCGGGGAATAGCCCTGACAAATTTTTTTGCAGCACCACAACAACAATTCTCCAAAAAATTTTATTTACCTACAAGTGTTAGCTAACATAATTTCCTTATCATAAACACCATATGATTCAACGTTCCACAAGCTAGACTGTAATTAGTATATTGCCATTACCGTAAATTTTAAAATCATAATTTAAGAAAATTAAAAATGTAGATCTATACTTTTACATTTAGTTAATGAGATTCTTGATCATTATAAGCTTTACGTAAATAGATAAACTCAAAACCAAAAGTATGTGAAAAAACGTTAGGAAATAATCATAACAAAATAACAAATATAACTAATGCTATAATACTTCAAGTCAAGTTTTCTTTACTGTTAAATAAAAATATTTAGAAAATCAATTTCTAGTACTATAGAAATATTTAAGTAAGGTCTAGTATAATATGCAAGGTATGACCGGTGCTACCTTCATTATTCCCACAAAGTTCATGCTAAATCTTATTGAAGAAAAATAGTTCAAGTTACTAGCAAATCAGCCCTCACAGGCCGTTAAGGTGGCTCATCACCTTTTAGAAAGTCAAGTCATTGCACCTTAATTGAAATATATGGTGAAGTAGCACTCAACGGATGTACAGTTTAAATTTCAGATCATATTGCCGACCAAAATCGAAAAAAAAAAAAAAAAATACATTTGAAATTCAAAATTTTAGCATTAGTCTCATGAGACATTCTGGCTTTTTCACTACAAGTGTTAGCTTTTTTAAACTAAAAGTCGAGCCACATACTACAAGAACTTAGCAGGTTGCTTAAATAATCTTCTTTTTAATGAAATCGCTCAAATTAAAGGTCGCCGAATGAAAAAAAAAAAAAAAATATAACGTGTTGAAAGTCCGAAACTGGAGGCTAACCTCAGTATGTACACAAGCAGATTCGTTTCTATAGGTATACATATTGAGCCTGCTACTCAATGTTTTTAGGTGTGATAGTCTAATGTCACACAAACATGGTACAAGGATAATGAGCCACCTTGAGAAACATGTTAAAGTAACTTGTCATACCAGCTCTCTCCTTCAAGTTCATGCATCCAGTGGATAGTCAGTCAAAATTAAGGTCAGACCATTATTTAAGCCAACATTTTGTCACCGTATAAAGTCTGCATACATCAAGCAATGTCATGTTACATCAGTATAAAATAAGTACATCTTCTATGCTCAAAATTAGCAGTAATGAGGAAATTAACGATAATTAGATAATAAAACATTCATTAAAACAATATTCCTCTATTGGCTAATAACTTTTTTCTGACCATTTCTGGAGAGGGCCTTTTTTCGGTTCTCACTGCGGTTCACAAAAAGTTTAAAACAGATCAACCAAAAATGTGATGTGTATATGAATGACTGTAATATCAACCTTGTGCCAGAGTTTCTTATAAAACGTATAAAACGCAAGTTATTAAGTTTTGAAAAATGGCTAAAAATGGCAGTTTTTGCAATTAGCGAAAAAACAGATGAACCGATTTGAACTCAATGCGGTTTATTTCTTTCGTATTAAAATTGAAAACTCAACCACATATAATTTAAAAATATAAATTGTATTAAATGAACTGATTTTTTTATATGTCAAAAAATTTTCTTGAATTTTAAGAGCATAAAACGAGTCTTAAGGAAATAAGAAAAATATCAAGAATTTTCATTTTATGAGTATATGGTATGTTGTTAAATTTACGTTGCACTAGATCAGAGCTTCTAATTTTATCGTTCTTTAATGTTTACTACTTTCTAGACCGTCAGAATATTAATTGTTCATTTATTCGAAATTGAAAAAGTATCCATATGCAACCAAAACTATTTTGAAGTATTTCGAACGAATTGGAGAAACTTTTAAAAAGCTTAGAATTTTTTAAAAATCGTACCAATAAGTTACACAAACAGTCGAGAAATCAGGTACGACTTAAGGTTCAACGACAAATATAAGCCTTTAAGACTAAGGTTTCAGGTTTGGGATGCTGTAAGAAAAAAAAAGGAAAGAAATAAGGAGTATGTTAGAAGTTATAGTGGATAAGCGAAAAAAGCTATCTTGCACAGGTAGTGCAAGATCATCATTTTTCATACACAGATTCTGAAAATTGGTTACTGAACAAAGTGATACTTTATACAAAAAAAGTGTTAGATTATAATGGAATACATTTACTGACAGAGTTTCGAGTTGAAAGCAAAAAATATTAGTCAAAAAAAAAAACGGTTGAGTTATCGTAGTCGTATGGGTAATACTCTTGTGCAGGGCGCTTCGCAAAAAAAAGAGCTGGCATACGGGTTAGAAGTAATTAAAAATTACAAACAAACTAAGAACAGGTAAAGTAAGGCACAACAATTGATTGGTAAGTGTCATCATAAAATAGTGCGCCGTAATCTAAGAGGAAAGAGAAAAATTCGTAAGTGCTGATCAATATGGTTAGATTCTCCCAAAGTAAATAATGGGAAAGAAGAAGGAAAGAAGATGTCTCTTTTATATTACTCTAATTAATGCCTTTTTTTCTATTAATATTTGTCTACCTTTAGCACCTTTAGAATTTATCCATTTGTTTAAAGATGTCTAAGACTTCGCTAATTATTTTCTAATTTCTTTGTGCCTTTCTACATACCCTTCATTGTTTGCAACCTTACCTTTCCTTACCATTCCTAAGTTTATAACTACTCTTATACTTTGTTTATCAACGTTTCCCACGATTCTTGAGTATATATTCCCCTCTCTATCTTAAATAGTTCCTTTCGAGTATTCATTTTATTCGAGTACTCAATCAATTTTTCATCTTGTCTCTCAATTTGATATTTTTTGGGCACTGTCTCTCTCTCTATCTTTTGAGCCTGCCTCATTATCATCCTCTTGTGTAATAATCTCAATTTTTTCTACAAAATTATCTGCTTATTCACTATTTATTATCCACACTAATTATGTTTCTTTATTTATTTATTTCATAACCAGGGTATGCAAAATATACAGAGCAACAGAAACATATGATTCCCTTGCAACCCTGAGTATAAGCATATACCCGTTTGCAGACTGGTTTACCTAAACTCTAATAACAACGTATACAAAAATAATTTTAAATATTTTATAACCTAATTACTACTGAACTAAAGTGCTAATTCGGCTAACATTCAAACATCCAAATAATATAATGCTCTTTATAAGAGTTAACAAAAGATTTAATATAATATTATTATTAGTCATCATATTACTGTTTAAGATAAAATTAGGATATTTATAAAAGCTTGTTAGTGTATATCCATTTTCTATTTTATCTAGATTTTATTTTTTTATAATATTTAATAGTTTGAGATCATTTGTTAATTCATTAAATAGTTTTATAGCACATATGTAACTGTTCTTATGACTTACATTTTTTTTTGGTAATTGCATTAATTTATTTCTAGTTATACCATTCAAAGTCTTAGATTGTTTTTGTAATTTACTATAACCGTATAATCGTATCAAATAGACTCAATATCAGAGAGTTGTTTTACAGATAAAGTTTTGTCCGTTATATGCCTACTTTTATTCACAATTGTTACAAGTCTGTTTTGTATTTTCTGTGGAACATTAATATCGGTAATATATGCACCACCTTAAGCACTTATATCGCAGTTAATTATGCTTTGAAAAAAAGCATAATATATTATTTTTAGTGTATCGCAATTCATGCATTTAGAGATTTTATAAAATACAAATACTAAATACTTAGTTTTTTTAACAACATATTAAATGTGTTTGTCTCATTTTTAATTAAAATCGAAGATTAACTTTAAGTACTCGCAATGTTCAACCCTTTTAATTTTTTTATTCCTAATTGTAATATTTAATGCCCGTGGTACGCTATTACAGCAGCTTCCAAATGTCATAAATACTGTTTTATCTATATTAAGAAAAAGTTTATTATAGCAAGCCAATCGGATGTCTGTGCCAAATATTTATTAATATTACTTTCGACTTTGCTGCAAGAGTTTCCAACAGAAATAATTGCAGTATCGTCAGCATAAGACGTAGTACAACCATTAGCAAAAGTCGTTAAAAGGTCTTTAACATGTGTTATAAACACTAAAGGACTTAATATTGTTCCTTGTGGTAACCCAATATTAATTTTCTTTATATCACTTCGATCTTGTCCCATTCTTATACACTGAAATCTATTGTCAAAATATATTTTGGTTAAGTCTAATGCATTACCCCTCATACCGTAGTTACATAGATTGTCAAGCAATATAGTATGACTGACAGTATCAAAAGCTTTTGCTAAACCTATAAAAGATATTGCAATTGGCTTACTTTTATCTAGATTATCATATAATATCTCAGTTACATCATTTACAGCATCTTTTGATCCTTTTTATTTAGTAAAACCATATTGATTTTTAGCAATGATATTATTGTAAGATATGAAGTTTATAAATCTGTTGTGAATTGTTTTTTAAAATATTTTTGCTATGATAGATATACGCGATACAGGACCATAGTTTGACATTTCTTTTTTGTTTCCAGACTTGTATACAGGTATAACCTCAGCAATTTGTAATGCATCAGGCCGTATCCATTTATCAATACACATGTTAAGAATGTGCACTAGTACATCACTAATATTCTCAGATAATACCTTAATAACTTTTGTATTTATTCTGTCACTTCCACCATTCTT